CAGTTTGTGAGGATGTCTCAGGCGGGGTGCTGGTTTCAGCACCCCTAAGGGGAGCCGCCAGGAGTCTTTTCATGGGCCCGTTCGCGGCCAGTTTGTGGAGATATCTCAGGCGGTTTGGCTGTTTTGGTGGACAGACTCGCCTGCGTTTCGAAAAATGTGTGAGGATGTCTCAGGCGGGGCGCTGGTTTCAGCACCCCTAAGGGGAGCCGCCAGGGGTGTTTTCACGGGCCCGTTCGCGGCCAGTTCGTGGGGATATCTCAGGCGGTTTGGCTGTTCTGGTGGGCAGAATTGTTTTCTCGGAGACCAGTTGTGAGGATGTCTCAGGCGGGGCGCTGGTTTCAGCACCCCTAAGGGAAGCCGCCAGGGTCTGTTTTTCACTGGCCCGTTCGCGGCCAGTTGTGGGGGATGTCTCAGGCGGTTTGCTGTGATGGTGGGCAATCGTTTGAGTTTTAGAGCAGTTGTGCGGATGTATCAGGCGGGGCGTGTTTCAGCACCCCAAAGGGGAGCCGCCAGGGGTGTTTTCACGGGCTCGTTCGCGGCAAGTTTGTGGGGATGTCTCAGGCGGTTTGGCTGTCTTGGTGGGCAGACTCGTTTGCGTTTAGAGCAGTTTGTGAGGATGTCTCAGGCGGGGCGCTGGTTTCAGCACCCCTAAGTGGAGTCGCCAGGGGTGTTTTCACGGGCCCGTTCGCGGCCAGTTTGTGGGGATGTCTCAGGCGGTTTGGCTGTTTTGGTGGGCAGACTCGTTGGCGTTTAGAGCAGTTTGTGAGGATGTCTCAGGCGGGGCGCTGGTTTCAGCATCCCAAAGGGGAGCCGCCAGGGGTGTTTTCACGGGCTCGTTCGCGGTGGGCGTAAAGATGTATCTGGGCGGTTGAGGATGTGGTTTTGGTGGGCAGACTCTTTGCGTTTAGACGCAGTTTGTGAGGATGTCTCGGCGGGGCGCTGGTTTCCGCACCCCCGAAGGGGAGCCGCCAAGGAGGTGTTTTCATGGGGCCCGTCGCGGCCAGTTTGTGGGGATATCTCGGGCGGTTGTGTTGTTTTGGTGGGCAGACTCGTTTGCGTTTAGAGCAGTTTGTGAGGATGTCTCAGGCGGGGCGCTGGTTTCAGCACCCCTAAGGGGAGCCGCCAGGAGTGTTTTCATGAGCCCGTTCGCGGCCAGTTTGTGGGGATATCTCGGGCGGTTGAGTTGTTTTGGTGGGCAGACTCGTTTGCGTTTAGAGCAGTTTGTGAGGATGTCTCAGGCGGGGTGCTCGTTTCAGCACCCCTAAGGGGAGCCGCCAGGAGTGTTTTCATGAGCCCGTTCGCGGCCAGTTTGTGGGGATGTCTCAGGCGGCTTGGCTGTTTTAGTGGGCGGACTCGTTTGCGTTTAGAGCAGTTCGTGAGGATGTCTCAGGCGGGGCGCTGGTTTCAGCACCCCTAAGGGGAGCCGCCAGGAGTCTTTTCATGAGCCCGTTCGCGGCCAGCTTGCGGGGGTGTCTCATGCGGTTTGGTTGTTTTGGTGGGCAGACCCGCCTGCGTTTCGAACATCTGTGAGGATGTCTCAGGCGGGGCGCTGGTTTCAGCACCCCTAAGGGGGGTCGCCAGGGGTGTTTTCACGGGCCCGTTCGCGGCCAGTTTGTGGTGATATCTCAGGCGGCTTGGCTGTTTTAGTGGGCAGACTCGTTTGCGTTTAGAGCAGTTTGTGAGGATGTCTCAGGCGGGGCGCTGGTTCCAGCACCCCGAAGGGGAGCCGCCAGGGGTGGTTTCACGGGCCCGTTCGCGGCCAGTTTGTGGGGATATCTTAGGCGGTTTGGCTGTTCTGGTGGGCGGACTCGTTTGCGTTTAGAGCAGTTTGTGAGGATGTCTCAGGCGGGGCGCTGGTTTCAGCACCCCTAAGGGGAGCCGCCAGGGGTGTTTTCACGGGCCCGTTCGCGGCCAGTTTGTGGGGATATCTCAGGCGGTTTGGCCGTTTGGTGGACGACGCGCGTGCGTTTGAAAAAAGTGTGAGGATGGTCCGGCGGGCGATGGTTTCAGCACCCCGAAGGGGAGCCGCCAGGGGTGTTTCACGGTGCCCGGTCGCGGCCAGGTTGTGGGGATATTCTCAGGCGGGTGTGGCTGTTCTGGTGGGCGGAAATTCGTTTGCGTTTAGACGCAGTTTGTGAGGAGTCTCAGGCGGGGCGCGGGTTTCAGCACCCCTAAGGGGAGCCGCCAGGGGTGTTTTCACGGGCCCGTTCGCGGCCAGTTTGTGGGGATATCTCAGGCGGTTTGGCTGTGCTGGTGGGCAGAATTGTTTGCGTTTAGACCAGTTTGTGAGGATGTCTCAGGCGGGGCGCTGGTTTCAGCACCCCTAAGGGGAGCCGCCAAGGGTGTTTTCACGGGCCCGTTCGCGGCCAGTTTGTGGGGATATCTCAAGCGGTTTGGCTGTTCTGGTGGGCAGAATTGTTTGCGTTTAGACCAGTTTGTGAGGATGTCTCAGGCGGGGCGCTGGTTTCAGCACCCCGAAGGGTCATCGCCAGGGGGTGGTTTTCACGGGCCCGTTCGGGCCAGTTGTGGGGATATCTTAGGCGGTTTTGGCGTTTGGTGGGCGGGACGGGTTGCGTTTAGAGCCGTTGGTGAGGATGTCCAGGCGGGGCGCTGGTTTCAGACCCCCTAAGGGGAGCCCGCAGGGGTGTCATGGGCCCGTTCGCGGCCAGTTTTGTTGGGGATATTATCAGGCGGTTTGGCTGCTTGTTTCTGGTGGGCAGAAGTGTTTGCTTTTGACCAGTTTGTGAGGATGTCTCAGGCGAGGCGCTGGTTTCAAGCACCCCTAAGGGGCAGCCGCCAAAGGGTGTTTCAGGGCCCGTTCGCGGCCAGTTTGTGGGGATATCTCAAGCGGTTTGGCTGTTCTGGTGGGCAGAATTGTTTGCGTTTAGACCAGTTTGTGAGGATGTCTCAGGCGGGGCGCTGGTTTCAGCACCCCGAAGGGGAGCCGCCAGGGGTGTTTTCACGGGCCTGTTCGCGGCCAGTTTGTGGGGATATCTCAGGCGGTTTGGCTGTTCTGGTGGGCAGAATTGTTTGCGTTTAGACCAGTTTGTGAGGATGTCTCAGGCGGCGCGCTGGTTTCAGCACCCCTAAGGGGAGCCGCCAGGGGGTAGGACACTGGCCGGGGTGTTTTCACGGGCCCGTTCGCGGCCAGTTTGCTGAGGAGTGGGAGTGAATGGGAGGCTCGTGTTCAATCATACTCAAAGCTCACTCTGACTCATACTCATTCATTCGCATTAGGATTGGCTCGTCTTCGTCGGCCCTGTCGCCCACGTGGACGCGCTAAAGTAGTCAAGCGCTCATGAACTGACGCTCGCTATGGCATGGCATAAAACATGAGATGCACCTATGGGGAGCTCCATGCAGTGAGTAACATGATGGCCCCGTCAGGTTCACCGGAGTCCCCCGTGCCCGAGCTCTTGCGTCTTCCCGGAAAGGGTGTGGGTCGGATCGCTCCCGGTCGACGGCCGCAGGTCCGTCCCTCGCGGTGCTGTCTATGAGATCTCGGGGGCGTCGCGCCCTGGCTGCGCCCTGGGCCTTGGGGGCTATCGGGCCGAGACTAATTCTATAGACATTTGTTTACAAAGAGAGAGAGAGAGAGAGAGGGAGAGAGAGAGAGAGAGAGATCCACATGCATCTCTCTCTATATACATACCTATATATATATATATACATATATACATATATACATACACAAAGAGAGAGAGAGAGAGAGAGAGAGAGAGAGGGAGAAACACAAAACGGGAGATCGAGAGAGAGAGAGAGACCTGTGTATATATACAGATATATATATATATATATATATATATATTGAAAGAGAGAGAGAGAGAGAGAGAGAGAGAGAGAGAAAGAAAGAAAGAAAGAAAGAGAGAGAGAGAGAGAGAAACACAAACAAATATATGGGCGAAGGACCCGACCAGATGGAGTTGTGAGTGCCGTCGCTGTGTGCGCCGCATTCGGAGGAACTCCCTGTGGGGCGACGAAGCGTGTGATGGGTGTGCCAAAATGGGTGCTGTGGCCGCGTGCGAACGCAGCCATTGGGGCCATCGGTGGATCTGCTCATGGGGCCGCGAGACGTTCGATGGGGCGTGCCACAATGGGCGCGGTGGGCGCAGGCGAACGCAGCCACTGGGGCCGCTGGTGGAGTGCCTTATTGGGTTTCGAAGCGTTTGCGGGGTTGCCAAATAGGTGGAGCTCCGTCGGTGGGGGTCCCTATGGAGCCACGCAGCGTGCGCGGGATGTGCCAAAATCGGCGCGGTGGGCGCATGCGAACGCAGCCAATATGGCCGTCGGTGGAGCTCCCCATGGGGCCGCGGAGCGTGGGAGGGTGTGCCAAATGGGCGCGGTGGGCGCATGCGACCGCTAGCATGTGGACCTTCGGTGGAGCTCCGTATGGGGGAGCTCCCTATTGGGGCCGCGAAGCGTGTGAGGGTGTGGCGAAATTTGCGCGGTGGGCGCATGCGAACGCAGCCGATGGGGCTGTCGGTGGAGCCCCCCGTGGGGCCACGACACGTGTGAGGGGTGTACCAAAATGGGTGCGGTGGGCGCGTGCGAACGCTGGCATGTGGGTTTTCGGTGAAACTCCCGATGGGGCCACGAAGCGTGTGAGGGGTGTGTCGAAACAGATACATGCGGAGGGAAGAGGCAAGGGCGGGGAGGAGTGGTGCGGAGGGGGAAAGGGAAGGGAGGAAGGAACCAGGGGCGCTGTCGTTTCAAAAAACGAGGACCCAATACCATAGGATGGTTGGGAACAAAAGAGAGAGGTAGGGACGGGACGCGCGCGACCTCTGTCACTCCTGCCCCTCCGCCGCCCGCGCGCGCCGGCTCCAACCAATCCTCGCCCCGCGCCCGGACTTCGGGGCGACGGCGACGACGACGGCAGTGACGCCGACGACAGCGGCGTCCACGCCGACAGCGACGCCGACGACGGCGGCGAGGCCGACGGCGGCGTCGGCGCCGTCGGCGGAAGCGGCCGGCGGCCACGCCCCGGCGCGTCCGCCGAGGTTCAAGCCCTGCAGAGGCTGCAGCTCGGGCTGCGCCGCCGGCAGCTGCTCCGTGCAGTGACCGCGGGCGGGCGGGGCCCCGGGCGCGGCGGGGGCCGCTCGGGATCGGGTTGTCCGCGGGGGGAGGAGGGGGAGGGAGAGGAGGAGGAGGAGGAGGAGGAGGAGGCGGAGGAAAGGGGGAGGAGGAGGAGGAGGCGGAAGGGGGGGAGGAGGAGGAGGAGGAGGAGGAGGAGGGGGGAGGAGAAGGAGAGGAGGAGGAGGAGGAAGAGGAGGAGGAGGAGGAGGAGGAGGAGGAGGAGGAGGGAGGAGGAGGAGGAGGAGGAGGAGGAGGAGGAGGAAGGAGGAGGAGGAGGAAGGAGGAGGTGGAGGAGGAGGAGGAGGAAGGGGGAGGGAATGCCACCCTTTTCTCGTTTTCGCCTTTCTGGGCCTCCCGGGAGGCCCTCGTTGCCGCGGTGGGATCTCCGCCCCGACGTTCTGCTCGGAGCAGGATCCGGGAGAGATCATTGCATTTCGGTGGACCTCCTCCTCCCTCCCCCTCCTCCTCCTCCTCCTCCTCCTCCTCCTCCTCCTCCTCCTCCTCCTCCTCCCTCCTCCCTCCCCTCCTCTCCTCCCCTCCCTCCCCCTCCCTCCTCCCTCCCCCCTCCTCCTCCCCCCTCCTCCCTCCTCCCTCCTGCTCTGCTCCTGCAGAGGAAGACGTAGGACAGGGCCGCGCGGATGGCAGGTGGTGGCTTCAGGGGAAGCGGCGCGAGGTTCTGGGGATTGGGGTGTGGGGGGGGGCTTTTGTTTACCGGTGTCGCGAGCTTTGCCTTCTTCTTGTTGATGTCGCGCCTCCAACCTCACTCGCTCACACGCGCTCATACGTAGGCCACTTGCACTCATACCCACCCAAATTCTGGACGCTTCGCGTACCTCCACCAGTTGCTGCCGCCTGGTGAGCTGGCCCGGCCGGCCTGAGTAGCACCTTGCAGCGAATTAGGCTCGCCCGTAGGCCCAGACGACTTCTTTTGCCGCCTGCGCTTTCGCTTGCGGCCGCGACCAGAAATAAAAGTATCTCCACCAGCCCATCCAGAAACGATGTCCAGGCGAGTTGAGGTGATCAGGGAAGTACGGGAGCAAAGCGGGGTACGGCCGAACCATGCGAAGGAGGGAGGAGGAGAAGGAGGAGGCTGGATGGATGGATGGATGAGGAAGTAGGGAGAAGGAGGATGGCTGGGATGATGATGACGATGACGATGACGATGACGATGACGATGACGATGATGATGATGATGATGATGATGATGATGATGATGATGATGATGATGATGATGATGATGATGATATGCTGATGCTGATGATGCTGATGATGATGATGATGATGATGCTGATGCTGATGCTGATGCTGATCTGATGCTGCGCTGATGATGATGATGATGATGATGCTGATGATGATGATGATGATGATGATGATGATGATGATGATGATGATGATGATGATGATGATGATGATGATGATGATGATGATGATGAAGATTATGATGATGATGATGATGATGATGATGAGGAGGAGGAGGAGGAGAATGAGGAAGAGGAGGAGGAAGAGGAGGAGGAGGAGAACGAGGAGGAGGAGGAGGAGAAGGAGGAAGAGAAGAAGTAGGAGGAGGAAGGAGGAGCAAGAGGAGGAGGGCAGGAGGGCAAGCAAAAGGGCCAGAGGTTTCTTGGGGTATCTCTTAGGCGCTTCTTGGTGGCCTCTTGGGACGTCTTCGGTGTCTCTCGGCGGTCCTAGGGGGCTCTTGGGCGTCTTGGGTGCCTCGGGGGGGCCTCTTGGGGCCGCTTTGGGTCCTCTTGGGGGCCTCCTGGGGGCCTCTTGGGGGGCCTCCTGGGGCCATCTTGGGGCCATCTTGGGGCCATCTTGGGCGCTTTTTGGGGCCTCCTGGGCGCTGTTTGGGGCCATCTGGGTGGACATCGATCAAAGAAGAGGGGAACACCTTTTAGCGCTGCCCTCCCAAGAGGCCAACAAGGAGCCAAAACCTTAGTAAGACCAGTGATGTTGGCTTAGCCGCCGAGGCCGATTTGGGCGCTCTAACTACCCGCGATTGGCCCCGTCCAGGTCCAGGGGAGGGGGTAGGGGGAGGGGTAAACCCCTCCCCGAAGGGGAAGCAGGGGGTTGGAAGAGGAGCCGCCCTGGACCACCTACGCCCAGAGGGCTGGTGAGATTCAATCTCAGTCTCACTCACGCGCGGACCCACTCATACTGAGGACCACTCGTGTCGATACCCGTCCGCGCTGAGGCTCATCCACAACCAAATCGACTCATACGCACATTCAAGTATTCTCAACTCCCTTCATACTCATTTCCATTCATACTCAGGTCCACTCGTGTCTAAGCCCAATCATGCTCATCGGTTCCCATCCCCACGACCCCCGCGTTGTAGCAGGCGTTGCAACTGGGCCGCGTGGAAAAGTGGAAGGCACACCTATGCGCATACGTGTTCTTTTCAACACTGTCTTGCTTTGGGAGTCTTCGGCTGGGGGACGAGGAATACGGGGTGAGGAAGGAAGGGCGGCGCGGGCGGCTTGATAGATGAGGGAGTGGGATCGGAAAATGGGGGGCGGCGGATGGCGAGGAGGGGAACGCGCAGAGAGGATGGAGGTTTGACGAGGAGGAAGGCGGGAACACAGTGGATGCAGCGGCGAAGAGGGCGGCAGAGGCTGCCGAGGTTGAGGAGGCCGAAGATGAGGGAGGAGGGGGCTGTGCAGGGGAGGGCCGAGGCGGAGGATCGGGAGGGGGTGGGAGATGCGGGAGGGACGAGAGGGTGGGTAAACTCGGGGAGGACAAGGAGAAGAAGGACCAGTCAAGGAGGACGAGGAGACATGCCAAGGATGGCTAATGAGTTACGATGGATGGTCAATGTGGGAACGGAAGGAGGGGGGAGGTGGCGGTGGTGGTGGCGAGGGGTCCGGGCTCATGATGACGACGATGATGGTAATGGTGCGCAGCTGAGGACGAGGATTCGGATGCGGATGACCATGCCGAGTATGGGGATGAGGATGGTAAGTTGGATGTTGACGGGCAGCATTACCATGATACTGATACCGATGCTTATGCTGATGCTGCTCCTGGTGCTTGTGATGACGATGGTGGTGAATATGTGTGGGCAGGGATTGCGTTTAGGAGGCCTCAGACGCCGGGGGCTTCCTTGTCTGATCAACTCGGCGGTGACGTCCATGGGCGAGCCACGATGGGAGCACCACCTGCTTCCAGACCCCGGATTCCTCACCCAACGGTTCCCTATCCGGTGCCCCCATCCTCCGTGGCCGTTTACCTCAAGCCCTGTGGCTCCGGCCGCTCAGGATCGGGCGCGGTCGATCCCCTGCTGAGTGGCGCGGTCGATCCCCTACTGAGTGAGCCCTGAATTCCTTATCCAAGTGTTCCTTATCCAGTGCCCTCATCGCGCCAGCCCCGCCGCAGCGCTGGACCCACAGCGCGAAGTTGTGAGAGCGGCGCTTGCGGCTCGGGAACACGCCCGAGCGACTCGTGAAGGAGGCCGTGGGCATCGTGCGGCCGCTAGACGTGCCTTGCCCTCCCGCCCTCCTTCCTTCCTTGAATTCTAGCATGACCACGCGCCTATTTGCGGGTGCTCGAAGAGTTTTAAAAACCAAAAAAACAAGTGCCCTCAGCGCCCGTGGCCATTCACCTCAAGCCATGTGGCCCCAGCCGCTCAGGATCCGGCGGCGTGCCGCCCGGGCCCCCCGCCCCCTGCCCGCTCCGCGCGGGGGCCGCCGCGTGGGCCCGCCGCGCGCGCGCGCCTGCCAGCGGCACTGGGCCCGCCCGTCCTCGGCCCGCTCGCGGAGGGGTGGCCGCGAGCGCGCGCGAGTGGCGACGGCGCCGAGGAGCCCTGCTGAGAGCCCCGAATCATCAGGGGTACCTCGGGTCAGGGCTAACTCGGGTTCGTTTTCCGGGATTCCAAGCCCGACTTGCCCCGGACCCGACTTATACCCCGGATAACTCGGGCGTCCAGAGCCCCGAATCATCAGGGGTATCTCGGGTCAGGGCTAACTCGGGTTCGTTGTTCGGGGATCCAAACCCGAGTTACCCCGGACCCGACTTACCCCGGATAACTCGGGCGCCCAACCTGCTGGGCCCAGGCGGGCGGGCCGCGCGGCAGGCTCGCGTTCGGAGATGGGCGGCTGCTGGGCGCCATCTGCCCGCCCGCCGCCGCGGGCGCCGCGGGGGCGGACGTCGCGGGGGCGCGCCGCGGTCCTCGTGCCCGCGCGTGCTCCCGGGCGGGGGCCTGCCGTGCTCGCGGGGCGGCGGCGCGCCCGGGGCCGCGCCGCGGAGCGCCCTGCGCGGCGTGGAGGCCGCAGCGCGCACGCCTCGCGGCGGAGGCGTCGGGGTGACTGGCTGGCGGGGGGGGGGGTCGACCGCGCGCAGGCCCCGCCTCGAGGTCGGCGCCAGGGAGCTCTGAGGGGCGGCTCGAGCCTGGCGGTGCCGAGGCCAGCCACGCGGGCATGCGCCCTTTCTCTCTTTCGATCGTCCTCTGTTGATGTTCCTCTGTTCGTTTGTTGTCGTCGCGTGTGCAGGTACGTCTGCTTCTCGCAGACCGGCGGAGATAAGTGCCCTCGCCGCAATAATAAAAGGGGGAGGCCTCGGCAGGAGGAGGGGTAGGAGGAGGAGCAGCAGGGTGAGCGGGGCATCAGGGATGGGCAGGGGGAGGTGGAGGAGGAAAGGGAGAAAGCGCGGGATGAAGAAGGAGGTGGAGGAGGCGCCAGGAGGAGGGCGGAAAAGGGGGAGGTAAGGGGGAGGAGGTGGAGGAGGGAGAGGACGGGAGGGAGGCGTGAGCGGGGGCGAGGAAGAGGAGGCGGGGGGGGGAGGGGGGGGCCGCGACAAATGATGGGGGGGGATGTGGGGGGGGGGGGGAGACGGGCGGAAAAAGGGGGAAATCAAATTCGGCCCGCTCCTATCTGACATCCGACCCCTCCGTCCGAACACTTCCCATCGCACCCGTTCGATTCTATCCGAAACGTGCGCCGTTGCCGACCTGGAACTCCGAACAGACTGTAACGTGTCATGCTGAATCTGAGAGAAAACGTCACCCCGCACAGAGGAGGGGAAGTTGGCGGGTGAGCAGGAGGAGGAACAGGAATAGCAAGAGGAGGACGAGCGGGGGGGGGGCGGATGGGGACAAACAACAGCAGCAGCGGGAACTGGAGTGGAAGGAGCGGGAGAATCAGCAGGGCCAAGAGAAGGCGGAGGAGGAGGAGGAAGGAGCAGCGACAACGATGACGAAATAATTGTGGCCGTCGCTGGGGCAAGAACGCCATTTTGAACGACGGGAGCACAGCGCCGATCATAACACGAGGCTCGTGCTGTGGCAGGAACGCCCTGCTTAAACATTGAAAGCAACAACATTGTCAAAGACATGGGGGAAGTCATATCGTCCCAATCCTCGATGTGAGAAGCCGTGCGCGGAGAGGACGGCGCATCTTCCGGACATGGTCAGGGGAGAGAAGGGCACCGCATGCATTGCGTGTAAGAGGAAAGGGGATTGCGTGAGGGAGGAGGCATTCGAAAGGAGGGCAGATGGAAAGTGAGCCCGGTGCGGGCGGAGGTGGGGTTTAGAAGAAGGAGGGAGGGACGGACAGAATGAGAGAATGGGGACGACGAAGGACGCAGCGCGCGTGTGGGTAGGAGGGAAAGTGGAATGAGGGGGAGGGAGAACGGGAAAGACGGGATGAGGGTGGGAGGGAGGAGGGAGGAGTGAGCAGGGGGGGAGCAGGAGGGGGAGAAAGAGAGAGGAGAATGATGGGTGAGGAGGGGTGTGGAGGACGGGCGAGAGGAGAGGAGGGAGATGGGATGGGGAGAAGAGACCAGTGGGTGGGCGAAGGAGGGACGACTGTTTTTTGGGGGGCCCTCGGGGGGGGGGGGGGGCAAAAGGACGAAGCAAGAGGAGCAGCGTGGCGTGGCAGAGAGCACCGCCCCCGACAGCCGCCTAGGGCACCGCTCGGAAAAAAAGGCAGGAGGAATAGCGTTACGCATCACCCGCGCACCTACCAACTACAGTGGAGACCCATGCGAAGAAACACCCTGTTTGCCTCCAGGGTGCCATGGGCGTCTTTGGTTTCGATGGCGCTGCTGGGACGTCCTGGGGTCTCAGGGTCGAATTTCTTGTGGAAGGTTTTTTTTTGTGGGCTGGCCTCTACTGTACCCGCGCGCGTTCCAACTACCTGCGGCCCTGTTCAAATTTGTATTATCCCGGGCCTCCTGCTCGCAAATGTCGCTCCTGTTCATAGCCGCTTGGACTCTGCCCCCCTGTTGCGGGCCCCGGGGCCGAGAGCCCGTCGAGGATGCGGGAGACATCCCCCGGGAGGGGGTCGCCCCCCTGACGGGCTTGTGATCCACCACCAAGACCATAAGTTGGAGGGGGAGGGGGTCCTCCACCTCCTCCTCCTCCTCGTCCTCCTCCTCTTCCTCCTCCTCCTCGTCCTCCTCCTCCTTCCCCCCTCCAACTTATGGTGGTGGTGGTGGGAAACAGGCCCATCATCCCCCCCCCTTCACCCCTCGACCACCGCCCGCCCGCCGCGTCGCCAGGCAGTGCCGCGCAACGCGCTGCCAGCTCCGGCGGCAGCGCCGGAGAGGCAGCGGCAGCAGGCTGCGTCGCGACGGGCCCGGAGGGCTCGGGAATTATGGTCCCGACGGAGGGCCCGACCAGAAGCAGTTGTGGATACCGCCCGGACCGAAGACGGACACCAAGACCGCGCGGACAGCGGGCAAGGTAGACGCACACGCCACTCTTTTTATACTAGATGTCATCTACAAGCCTAGTTTAGCCGAGATGTAGTTCTGCCGAGTTCCATGTTACCGAGCCAGGAAAGTATCCTGACGGAGGACCCGACCAGAAGCAGTTGTGCATACCGCGTGCTGGGTCCAGCTTTCGACGGGCCTCCCTATGGGACCACGAGCCGTGGATGCAACGGGCGGCCCGCAGCGGGAAGAGGAAATGGACGTGCGGTCGGCGGGGAGGGTGTTTGCGCACGCGGTCTCTGGGGCCTTCACTGGGGCTCCCTATCGGGCCACGAACCGTGCGAAGGGTGTGCGGACATAGACGTGCGGCGGGCGGGGAGCCGCATGTGGACCTTGTCATTGTGGCCTTCGGTGGAGCTCCCTATGGGGCCACGAAGCGTGTGAGGGGTGTGCCGGAATGGGCATGCTGGGCGAGAAGGGCGCATGCGGACGCGGCCACTGGGGCGTTCGCTGGAGCTCCCTATGATGGGCTCCCTATGAGGGTGTGCCGAAATCGGCGTGCGGTGGGCGGCAGGGAGGGCGCATGCGGACGCGGCCACTGGGGCCTTCGGTGGAGCTCCCTATGAAGCCACAAATCGTGTCAGGGGTGTGCCGAAATGGGCATGCAGTGGGTGGGGAGGACGCATGCGGACGCGGCCACTGGGGCCTTCGGTGGAGCTCCATATGGGGCCACGAAACGTGTGACGGGTGTGCCGAAACGGGCATGCGGTGGGCGGGGAGGGCGCATGCGGACGCGGCCACTGGGGCCTTCAGTGGGGCTCCCTGTGGAGACACAGCTCGTGTGAGGGGTGTGCCGAAACGGGCATGCGGTGGGCGGGGAGGACGCATGCGGACGCAGCCACTGGGGCCTTCGGTGGAGCTTCCTATGGGGCCACGAAGCGTGTGAGGGGTGTGCCGAAATGCTCATGCGGTGGGCGGGGAGGGCGCATGCGGACGCGGCCACTGGGGCCTTCGGTGGAGCGTGTGAGGGGTGTGCCGACATCGGCATGCGGTGGGCGGCGGAGAGGGCGCATGCGGACGCGGCCATTGGGGCCTTCGGTGGAGTTCTCTATGGAGCCACAAATCGTGTCAGGGGTGTGTCGAAATGGGCATGCAGTGGGTGGGGAGGACGCATGCGGACGCGGCCATTGGGGCCTTCGGTGGAGCTCCATGTGGGGCCACGAAACGTGTGACGGGTGTGCCGAAACGGGCATGCGGTGGGCGGGGAGGGCGCATGCGGACGCGGCCACTGGGGCCTTCAGTGGGGCTCCCTATGATGGGGCCACGAACCGTGTGAGGGGTGTGCCGAAATGGGCATGCGGAGGGCGGGGAGGACGCATCCGCACGCAGCCACTGGGGCCTTCGGTGGATCTCCATATGGGGCCACGAAACGTGTGACGGGTGTGCCGAAACGGGCATGCGGTGGGCGGGGAGGGCGCATGCGGACG